CAATTAGTAGAAATCCATATAAAATTTTCAAAATTCTCTCACTTGATTAACACTAATTGGTTTTAAATCCTAAAAATATATATTTTAAAAAATGATTTTTCAGTCAAATATAACTTTAATAACAACAAATATAAATCAAAATCTTAAAATAGAATTTTATTCAATAAAAATACCAATACCAAATTGTGTGGTCATTGTATCACCAACAATATCAGATCCTTTACAATCACAAATATCAAATATGTCCACTAACATTAGTTTCAATAAGTGTGATAAACTATAGTGTAATTTAACACAACATAATCCCTATAATATACAATATATTACAATCATAACGTTGCTCTTTATAGTTTCAAAGAAACCTTTTATGAAGATATAATCCCTATTAAACTTCCCTAAAAAAAACCTTTTAAATCTTATTCTGGTTTCATAAAAACTTAGAAAATAACCTCTCTCACTTCTCTAAAAAAAGTTTTTACACTTCAAGAAAATTCACACTTCCAAAGAAGCCTTTATCCTTTATACCTCAAGATTTCAATATCAATACTTGTATGAACTCATAAAATACATAAGTTGAATGAATGTATATCATTATAAAATAATAAATGATACAATAAGCAATATAAAGTTTATTATTAATTGAGAAATTAATTTTTCCACTAATTAAGAATATCTAAAATAATTCTCATAAATAACTAATAAAACTATAGTCTCTTAATTAGTAAATTAGTCAACACAGTCACAATAATGCATAACTATAGTTATCATTCATAAATTCACCTTAATATCATTCTTACTTTTTAATGTAAAATCAACAATTACTTTTGATGTATCTTTTCCACGAAATTCTGTAAACAAATCATCTATATAAATAATTAATACAATCAAATATAAAATATCTTAATAGAAACAATCATTCATTATCCTTTACCCAAAATAACATGATTTTTAAATTTTGATCAAATGCAAAAGTACAAAAGTGATAAGATTTTATCTACTTTAATAAAAGCAAATAAATCTTTTACAAGAATTATTTTTTATATAATTCATAACATGTGTTTAAAAGTTTCTTGATTGCAACCAAGTAACTTTCTTATATTCATAAGTTTATCTTTCTACATTGAGCAATTAAGAATAATAAATTGTTTAACTCCCATTGATTTTCTAAACTTATTATTCCATCATAACTTTTAAATGTCTTCTAATTAAGAAAAGTAATTTTCTTAAATAATAATAGATATTTTACACTATCTTAAATTTTGTATAATTCTTATTATAATTACCAATGTCTTTTACCATTTTTCTAATTGAACAACAAAATAGTAAATTATACAATTCAAATCCACCATGCTAAGAAACATGTATCTCTAAATTTAATCAAATCATGTGCAATCAAGATATGAATTACCTAAGAGATACACAAACTAACACCAACATACATTTACAATATAATTTTAATTATAAACCTTTGTTTATATAAAATTAATTTTTCAAAATAAGCTTTACATAATGTAGTTTAATCCATAGCATGATTCTTTTTAACTTGTAAGAGTTCAAGATACAACTACACTTTACTTTATTGATACTTTTATGTTGATTAAATAAGTTCATAAAATTCATTTTTAACAAATCAATTAGTAAGAAAATCATCTTTTAATAAATATGTATAAATACTCATAATACTTACTAATTACTCCCACTACTTCAAGTTAGTACATATAATAATCTCTATTAGGCAAAATATTGCATGTACTAATATGAAAATAGTAACTTTATTCCTTAATAGTTCATGTTTGATCTTCCCAATAGATCAATTAATTTTAATAACATGATAGTTTAATAACATCAATAAATATAAAATATTATTAAATTTCAGAAATTTTTATGACAAGTGAATTAATAAGAATGATTCCATAAAAAAAAAACTTTTTTGGGCAAAAAATTCTCTATAAAATCAAAATAAGAACCCATATGAATCACCTACACTTCTTTTAGTTAATTAATATGCATAATCACTCCCTTTAAACATGTAATTATATACATTAATTTTAAGAATCAAACACTCCAAAATTCTTACTGAGTAATATATGAATTTTAATAAATGGCTCACTTTGACAGTATCACTTATATCAATTCATAGACTTCCACTAAAACACTTACCGAATATAACATTTTAGAATTCTTATTGAGAAATATATGAATTTTAATAGATGCCTCATTTTAGTAGTACCATTCATATCAATTCATAGACTCCCATTGTAACATTTTTTTAATATAGCATTTCAAAATCCTCATTAAGATTTTAACCAATTTCCCACTGGAATAAAATTTTCTTAATATCTTAGAAACTTTAGTAACAAAAGTCATTAATCTTAATAAATGAATTCTTGATATTATTTATATTAATCATAAAAGCTTATTAGGACTTTCATTTATATATGTACTTCTATAATCCTTCTCAACTATATCTTTCATAATTTTTAATAATGATAATTCTTTAATAATTAAAATATATGAATTGTGAAAATTTTAAAACTTTCAAAAGACCTTTAATATTAATTGCTTCCATTACTTTAATACTTAAAGAAAATCATCTGAAATCCGTATTAGTATTTTAAATAAATCAAGTTGCAAAAATACTAAAATTCTTAGAACTTTATAAAATAAATTTTCTTTGAGATTTTAAAATTTTATGCACGTTACAATTAGGTTATTACCAATATGCATAATAAATGTGCATGATTATTCCTTGAATGTGATTAATTGCCAACAAAATTTGTTATAGATCCAACAATTGGACCTTAAATTATATATTATGAGTTATACCCAAACTTTAATTCCACAAAATCTCTTTAGAGATTTAAAAATTTAGTTAAACTATAGAATTCATATGTTGAAACCCATATAAGAAAATAAATAACTTAATATTGAATAAAATATCAACATAAGTAAAATTATAACTCGGTTACCTTATACCATTATGGTTTATTTTGATACAACTTGATGAATCATTGAAACTATAATTTTCAACAATATTTAGTCACTTTTAATGTATATCTTCCCTGAAAATTTTCTAAACTCCCATGTAGTTAGTAAAAAATACAATTATACTTTTTCCAAATACATAATTAGTCTTATAGATAATTTATT